TTGAAATTCTGTCACGATGTGAGGTGACACTCCCATATTCCTTATACTAGTGCTATGACGGTCACCAGGACATTAGCACAGAACTGAGTACTCAGTTTTTCCTTCCCAATCCAAAGATTGTGCAGTGTTTGGCATGTCATATACACAAACACAGAGAATCTCAACCCCCCGGGGGCAGAAAGAATCTTTGCTATCTGAATTCATACAAAGATCAATAACACAGACACTGAGAGAGCTCATTAATTTTAATAGTTGAAGCACAATTTTAATAGTTCTTCCTAAGAATTTTCTCCCAGGGACCTCCAAGACTATTTACATACCACACCTACAAGTATTGAAATTTCATAAATGCAATATTGCAGAAGCAGGAGAACTAAGAAAAGCCTTCATAGTCTTGAGATTAAAACAATGCATAGCTGTTCCCTCAGTACCTGTTACTAAATACTAAATACTAAATGCAAATACTAAATGCTAAAAAAGCTGAGCTAGTGGCGTGGGAGAAGCATGAAGTAGGAAGCTGTCATAATGACAAGCACTTTTACACTCATTTTTCATCTCATAACCAGGATAACACAGGACAAATTTCTCCATTTTGTTAACCATGTTGGTGTCAAAGGGAGAAAACTCTGGAGAAACATTTTCAAAGCAACAAATAGAGTTGGTTTTATTTATGACACACAGGTTAGTGAGGGACAAGATTGCCAGACTCCTTATAATTGTGGTTCCCCACTCTTGCTCACACTTTGGTGTCAAGAACCGATACTATGAACACAGAACCAGAGTCATAGTAGTAGCACAATAAAAATTTGTTGAATGAATGAACTGATACTTGTGATACAGTGTGAACAGGCTGGACTTTAAGTTTTCTAAGTGGAAACCTTCCTAGGACATTTTGGGGAGGTGACATTCCAGCAGCAAGCCTGACTTGGCAGTGGCCTGGTCATCCTGATAGCCCAAAGAAACAACTGAGTTCTTACTAGTTCATCCCATTCCCCTGAATATGCACACTCAGCATCAAAATTTGTGACCAGAATTTCAGGTCCAATACCATAAGTAATCAAAATAAAATGAATATGTATATGCCTCCTTCAATCACATTCAACACATACAAGACTTTAATAAACCTGGGGTAGAAACTGACCAAGTGAGATCCTCTTCCCCTACCCTTCCCTTTTGCATTTTTTGCTTTCTCTCACTCTCCTATTCTCTTTTCCCCTTTCGGCCCCTTTCCTCCTAACCCAGCCTTCTGCGTTTCTCCCTGCTTTCTTCTGTTTCTTCCTTATTACTAAAGTTGAATAATTCTTTATATCTGTGGCTCCAGAAGGTAGAGCCAATAAAATTGTTTTTAGTTCTCAGAAATAAGAGCAGTTATAAGAAGAAACTCTGTTCCTGGCCATACTAATAGTGATTTAGAGACTTTCTTTTGATATTCAGAACATTCTACTGGGTATGAATTCAACACCTACGCAATAAGCTGGGGATTTTAGTTTCTAGGATATAAATTTCATGATGATGATGATAAAACAATAAAATGTTAGTCACACTAATAAAATCCATTGTGTGTGTGTGTGTGTGTGTGTGTGTGTGTGTGAGTATTTAAGTAAAATAAGGAGTGGATGCTATTTAAAGCAAATGGGCATATCAGATACATATTTGTCACAATTCTTAATATCAAATGCACAAGTGCTGGCTGGAGGAGACCCTTTCAGCTAGCAAATCAGTTTGCACTTCTTACATAGCACAGAGAGCAGGACTAGCAGTGCCAACCAGAGTTAGGAAAGGAGGCGAGTTTTCTGCCTCCATCTCCCCTTCCTCCATGCTTTAAATAAGAATGCAAGGGAACCTCTAGGTCATCCTATTTGTTACTATCATTAAGCCTGTTCTCTACCCTCAGGAAAATCAGGTTCCTTTGGTTTATAAGAGTAACAGAAGTAATTTTCTTGGACAATTCTGTTTAAGGCTTTAAATTAATTCTACCCTGGCATTGGATGGTTCTAAATGTCTTTTCATTCATTTATTCAACAAATTTTCATTGAGTACCCACTCCCTGCCAAGCATAATTATAAATGCTGGGTAATACATTAATTCCAGTTAGTCTAATATTCTTTTATAGGAAGAATCTCTGACACAGTATGCTGTATTGGTAAACTGGAGTATGCTCAAATGTCAATCCTCTCACTATTACGTGCTCAGTCACTCTCAGCATATATTATCTCCTTTCTGTTTGGAAAATGTCCTTCAATATGACAATAATGAGAACAAAGATGACACAAAAGGGAATATGGATAGCTACTCCCCAGTTTGATTCTTCTTTGGGGGAATATATGAGCCATTTCTAGGCACCTGGTATTATAGAAACCCTACCAAACTTGGAGTCAGATGGCCTAGATGCATCTCAGCTTCATAACCTCAGGAAGTTACTTAACATTTTGAGTCCTTATTTTTTTATCCTAAAAACTGAGTCCAGGAATCTTTGCCCTACCTTTCTCTGGCATGACTGTGAGGAAAAAATAAAATAATGTTTGTAAAAGTGCTCTGAAAACCATAACACCCCATACAAATGCAAATGATCACTATCAAATAACCTTTGACATTCCTTTCAGGGAAGAGCTTCACATTATAGTTTCTTTTTCTCCATTTTTTAAAGGGGGGACTTACATTATCAACTAGCATTATTTGCGCATTGGGCAGCATAACCTACATTTATTTCCTCATGAAAGAGACCAATTAGAAGTTTTCCTTATTGAAAATGAAATGTACTCCCCGGGGGCCAGACTCAGAGTTGGAGATGCTTTGTTTACTGAGGGTTTCAGCCAAGGCTTCAGGTCCACAGAGGAAAACTCCTATTCTGGTACTTTGGGGAAAGAAAGAAAAAAAGACAGTTTCAGGCTTTGGGATGCAATAGATTACACAGCAAATAGGAACTGTCTATTGATCGTAGGCCCCAGGGCAGAGTCCCCTCTGCTCCTTTGCTTTTTCCACAAATGACTGAGTTCAGATTACTCAGTGGGAGAGCTACTCAGCCCTGTTTGTAGGGGGTGCTGGATACTTCAAATAGCAGTTAACTTCCCTGGATAATGGCATTCAAGCAGGGTTTATGGAAACTTCTACCACAGAGAAAATGACGATGAATTAGTGAGTCTGTGGGCTGCTTCCCTTCAAGACTCTGTCCCCGAAGCCCTCTTGGGCATCCTGAAATCAGGAACAAATCTCCTTTAGGTACACCATCTCTGCCCACAGCTTAATGTGGCTTCATCCCTCTACATTTTGGAGTCTAAAGCTCTGCTTCTCAAGGTGTGGTTCCAGAATAGTAGCCTTAGCAGTGGCTTTTTTAAAGAATGCTGATTCTTGGGCCCCACCCCAGACCTACTAAAATCAGCACTTGCATTTTGAAAAGATCCCCAAATGATTCATATTCTTGTTAAAGTGTAAGAAGCAATGGCGTAAAGAGTATATTTGTAGAGATTCCTTGAGTCCATCATATATTCTAGCAAGACAGAGTTTCATGATGGCTAAAGTTTTAGTGAGGGCAGAAAGGACCTTGAGATGTCTGTCACCTTATGATTTGAGACCCAAAAGCTAAAACTGAAAGTGGGATCAGTGTCTCCTTAATAATAAGTATGAATCACATTGAATTAAAAGAAGTGGATATATTAGTAAAATTTAGGAGATGAAAGAAAAGAACTGAGTTATGGTCCTCCTTGGGAGGAACAGGATTCAGAAAGTCTGAGGTGGGGCCTTGGGAATCTGTTTCTAACAACTCTCCATGTAATTTTGGTGTGATTAAAAGACTCCCTCTTAAAGTCAGAGATATCTATAACCTCCTATTGGGTATAAATATAGGAATCGAGGTATTTTTGTTTCCAGAATGTATTTATCTAGCTATTTTAGGAAATTGCTGCTTTAGGCAGACCACAAGCCTTAAGAACACTTTGCGGGGCACTCCTTACTTTGGGTGTTGACTTGCAATCGTCTTGAACTCATTATCCCAGTTGGGCCGTCCATACAAAGTCTTTTGTTTAAGGCCCGTGATCACATCTTTCTCCTCGTCATGGTGCACAGCAAAGTGATTGGCCTGTAGGAAAAGACATGAATTCAGAAAAAAGAGATATGCTATAAAACCCACAGAAGTATTTACATATCTTATAAACCAAGCTCTCACACCACCCTTTCTAACTATATATAT